ACCACTGTGTACTGCATGGCCAAGGAGGATGTGCCCGACGACCGCTGCTCTGCCCTGCTCGAGCTGCAGAGGTTCAACCTGTGCCAGGCGCTGCTGGGCACAGAGCATGGCGATTACTACAGCCCCAGGAGGGTGAGGGACATGCAGGTGGGTGGCAGCCAGAGGTACGGGGGAGGGCTTGGGGAGGAGACACAGAGCCATGTGGGAACGGCCCCAGCATGCCAGGCCCCTAGGCAGCAGCCGGGGCATTTCATTCATACCTTCACCCTTCAGAACCTTCATTGAGGGCCCACTATGTGCCTGGTGCTAGGCCAGCTGCAGGGGGTACAACTGTGAAGAGGCCAGACCAGGCCCTGTCCTTGTGGGACATAGAAACGCTCTTCTCACTACCTAGGCCAGAGGTTGCAAACTGGTCGCCTGGGGCCTTGCTTGGCCCACAGATGTGTTTTATTGGTTTTCATAGTGTTTTTGAAAAACTCAAATTAGTTTCCAACTTTAAAAAATCAGGATAGGCCGGGCGCGGTGGCTCACGCCTGTAATCCTAGCTCTTTGGGAGGCCGAGGTGGGCAGATTTCTTGAGCTCAGGAGTTCGAAACCAGCCTGAGCAAGAGCAAGACACCGTCTCTACTAAAAATAGAAAGAAATTAATCAGACAACTAAAAATATATAGAAAAAATTAGCCGGGCATGGTAGCGCATGCCTGTAGTCCCAGCTACTCAGGAGGCTGAGGCAGGAGGATCGCTTGAGCCCAGGAGTTTGAGGTTGCTGTGAGCTAGGATGACGCCACAGCACTCTAGCCTGGGCAACACAGTGAGACTCTGTCTCAAAAAAAAAACAAAAATCAGGAGAGACTAGGTGTGGTGGCTCTCACCTGTAATCCCAGCACTTTGGGAGGCTGGGGAGGTTAGGATCACTTGAGGCCAGGAGTTTGAGACCAGCCTGGGCAACATAGTGAGACCTCATCTCTAAAAAAACAAAAATCAGATTACATATAAAGTCTAGATTTGTGGCTTCTACTGAAAAGTGAGGGCCCCGTGCTGTCAGGGCAGGATGTGCTGGAGCTGGAGAGGAGGGCACGGACTTGCCGTGGTCTTCCCCATTCCCTCTGGCTCAGCCCTGGCCCACTTCAAGTTCAATATCACCTACGTGGCCCCTGGAGGCATGCAAGTTGCACCTCTGTCCTAGGTACTAGCTGTGTACGTCCTGGGGGCCTGGGTGGGGGTGGAGGGAATTGGATCTTATCCTACAGAGAAATGACAAATAGACAAACAGAGCACACAGCTGGGACCTTGTGTAACTGGTCGAGAGTTGGGAGTGAACTATCAGATAGTCCCTGAGCGAGAGGATGAAGGGAGACCCCCAGGAACAAGGCAGACTGGGGCGATGCTGTAGGAGAACACTGTGAAAAAAACTGGCCTTCCTAAAGCTCTTTATGGTTCACAAAGCAAGTTTACTATTTATAATTCACAACAACCCCTTGAGAAGATTTAGGGCAGTTGCTAGCTCAAAGCAGGTACCAAAGCTGAGAACACTTCGGGCACGGTGGCTCACACCTGTAACCCCAGCACTTTGGGAAGTTAAGGGGGGACAATTGCTTAAAGCCAGGAGTTCAAGACCAGCCTAGGCAACATAGCGAGACCTCTTCTCTACAAAAAATTTAACAATTAGCCAGTCATGGTGGCAGGCTCTTGTAGTCCTAGCTACTCAAGAGGCTGAGACAGGAGGATTACTTGAGCCCAGGAGTTTGAGGTTGCAGTGAGCTATGATGACGCCACTGTACTCCAGCGTGGGTGACAGAGCAAGACTCCCTCTCAAAAAAAGAAAAGAAAAAAATAGAGCCGAGAAAACTGAGGCTCAGAGAGGTGAAGTGACTGGCACAAAGTAGCACCACCAGTAACTGGCAAAGCCAGGATTAGTCCCTAAATCTGTTTGACCCCAAGGCCTGTGCTCTTTCCACCACCTGGCACTGTCTGCCCGCCCCCCCAGGGCAAACTAACTCTGTCCTCTTTCTCTCCCTGGCTGTCCCAGGTGGCCATTGCCAGCGTCCTGCACACAGAAGCCTGCCAGCGCCTGAAGGCATCCCCGTATGTGGGGCTGGTGTTGGACGAGACCAGGAACTGGCCCAAGTCCCACAGTCTGGCCCTGTTTGCCACTTCGGTGTCCCCCTGCGATGGCCAGCCTACCACCACCTTCCTGGGCAGTGTGGAGCTGCAGGAGGGTGAGGCCACTGCTGGCCAACTCCTGGACATCCTGCAGGCCTTTGGCGTATCTGCACCCAAGCTGGCCTGGCTCAGCTCAAGCCTCCCCAGTGGCCGCCTGAAGAGTGTAGGCCCCCAGCTGCGGGCCACTTGCCCACTCCTCACGGAGCTGCACTGCCTCCCTGGCCGGACAGACCCCGAGCCCCCTCCCTACCTGGGTGAATATGAGAGCATACTGGATGCCCTATTCCGCCTCCATGGTGGCCCCAGTTCCCATATGGTCCCTGAGCTCCGGGCAGCATTGGACCTTGCAGCTATTGACTTAGCAGGTCCCCGGCCAGTGCCCTGGGCCTCCTTGCTGCCTGTCATAGAAGCTGTGGCTGAAGCCTGGCCTTGCCTGGTGCCCACTCTGGAGTCCGCAGCCCCAGCCTCACCTACGGCTGGGGCACTGGCCTTGGCCCTGCGCCAGTTCACCTTTGTGGCCTTCACACACCTGCTGCTGGACGCTCTGCCCTCTGTGCAGAAGCTCGCCCTTGTCCTGCAGCCAGAAGAGCCGGACTTGGGCTTGCTGCAGCCCCTGGTGATGACGGCTACAGCCTCCCTCCAAGCTCAGCGCAGCTCAGGTGGGGCCCGCCTCCAGGGCTTCCTGCAGGAACTGGCATCCTCGGACCCTGACACGGGCAGCGGGCGCTGCACCTACCGCGGCGTGGAGCTGCTCGGCTACTCCGAGGCTGCGGTCCGGGGCTTGGAGCAGCTCCGGGGCTCTTTCCTGGACTCCATGCGGCGGGGGCTGCGGGACTCCTACCCCGGGCCCTCGCTGGACGCCGTGGCCGCGTTCGCGGCGATCTTCGACCCCCGCCGCTACCCGCCGGCGCCGGAGGAGCTGGGCGCGCACGGCGAGGGCGCGCTGCGGGTGCTGCTGCGCGGCTTCGCGCCCGCCGTGGTGCGCCAGCGGGCGCTGGGCGACTTCGCGCTCTTCAAGCGCGTGGTGTTCAGCCTCGGGCGGCTCGGCCCGAGGGCCCTGTGCGCCCAGCTGGCGTGCGAGCACTCGGAGCTGCACGAGCTCTTCCCCGACTTCGCCGCTCTCGCCGCCTTGGCCTTGGCGCTGCCCGCGGGCGCCGGCCTCCTGGACAAGGTCGGCCGCAGCCGGGAGCTGCGGTGGTGGGGGCAGAGCGGGGCAGGGGAAGGCCGGGGCGGCCACGTGGTGAAGATTGCAGTGGATGGGCCCCCGCTGCACGACTTTGACTTTGCACTGGCTGTGGAGTTCTTAGAGAGTGGGTGGGGGGAGGGGCTCCTCGGGTCGCAGCTCACCTAAGGGTGGCCGCCTTCTCTGCGCCCAGCCAGCCTGGGGCCCTGGGCACTCCAAGGGCCAAGCTGGGCCTGACGGTGCTGCCTCCAGGCTGACTTAGTAGCTATGGACTCCCCGGGCCCGGAGGCCACCCACCTGCCTTCCACATGCTTCCTCTGCTAGCAGAGCACTAGCCCTGCCTGGTGGACTGTGGAGGAAGGGACTGGGTGGGGGGGGGGGCCTGGGCACGTGGGCAGGAGGTGCTTGAGTCTGGGGCACCCTATGTCACTCCTGTCATTTGCAGAGTTGGTGAGGAGTAGCTCACCCTTTGCTCTTCTGGACTCAGCCCAAGTTTTGGCCCTAGAAAAAAAGATGGGGGTTCTTGGTTGGAGGGAGGAAACCTGGGCCTCGGGAATTGAGGGGTGAGGAAAAGGAGAATTGGCCCTTGTCTGTGTCCTAGACCCGCTCCTGACAGTAGCTCTTTTCTTCACATGTGACTGGGGAGCGCCATACTTGTTTTTGACACACAGCACAGCACCCTCTCTGTGCACAAGCTAGTGGTTCAAGGACACAACGGTTCAAGAGCGTAGTGGTGCCCTCCCTCCCCTCCTCACCAATAGGCTGCCTTAGGGCTTTTCTATAGGCGACAGTGTATATAGACCTATAAATCTATAAATGTAAAATAAATGTATCCTATCTTTCATAGCATTAACACACAAAAATCTAAAAGGACTTCTTTTGGTTTTGCAATGACAAGGGCCAAAAAAGTCCCAAATGGACTGAATTTTTTGCTAATTTTTTCTTGCTCTCCAAGTTCCTAGCCCTCCCTTGCCCATGCCTCAGATCTTTAAGACCAAAGACTGCAGAACCACAGTGCTGTACCTGCTGCCTCTGCGGCCCGGCCTCGGGCCTGACCTGGAAATCCATGTTTATCTGTCTCCCGGGGGAAGCTGTTTTGGCCTCACCAGAGCTGGGGGTCACATCCCTTCAGATCCCATGGGGTTCCCGTTCCTTCCTGTCCGCTCTTGCTGTGAATGTGTGGGGATCTCAAGGGAGGGGAGGACAGTTAGAGTGAGAGGGGAGGGGCCTGGCCTTTTCCCTAGACCCTGGGGTTTGAGTTTAATTTGCAATAAAGTGGAAACCCAGCGCATCATTGTAGTCTCCCTGGTGGTATGTATGTCAGGGACCCACCCTGAGCCCTCTGTCCCCTCTCTTAGCTGGACTCCCCTTGGGGGTTCGGTGGACTGTTACATTCTCTGTGTAGGGGCCAGAGGGTTGTCTTTCTGGGCTGGGAGCCTTGAGCTGTGGTTTCTGCTTTCCCAACTGTGGGGAGGACGGGCACAGAAATGAGGCTTGTGATTGCCCTGGGTTTGGCTGGTGGCACTTTGTGAAGAGGGACAGGAGTCTGCCCTGGCTCCACACCTGAGAAGCCCACCTGCCTCTTGTGGCTGCAGTGGTAGGAGAGGCCCTGTGGCTGCTCCCTGTTTCAGACCCTGCCCTTCTTCCTCCTGCAGCAGGCCCAGCCTCCAGTGCCCCCAGCCCCCTGCTGGCCTCCCTGCCCCTGCCCGCCCGGCCTCTGCAGCCCCCGCTGGACTTCAAGCACTTGCTCGCCTTCCACTTCAATGGCGCCGCCCCGCTCAGTCTCTTCCCCAACTTCAGCACGGTACGGGCAGGGCTGGTGGGTGGGGCGTGCAGCCAAGCTTGCGGGTGGGCAGAAGGTGGGCTCAGAGGGGCCAGCTCTCTGCAGCTGGGTCTAATCAAGAGCTCATTCTCCTCCTACATTCCCCAGTAGGACTAGGTGCTCCCCAAATAGGGACCCCTGGGCCCTGCCCTCTCCTAGGCTGGGAATAAGACAGTGTCACCCCTCTCCCTACCCGTGCCATCACAACTGCTGGGCCCACAGGGCCTGTAGACTGTAGGTTCCACTTGGGTTTTTGTATAGGGACTTCTGTGGAAGACCTGTGTGTGTCTGCGTGCAATTGAGGTGTGCCTGTCTGTTGTAGAGTGTGTCTCTACAGGTCTTTGTGTGTTACGTGTGGACGTGAGTTTGTATGTTGGTGTCCAGTGTGTGTGTTTGTAAACAACTCTTTGTGCCTGGGTAATTGTATATAATTAATATATGTGCCTAAGTATCTGAGGGTTTTTTGTGTCTTCGTGTCTTCTAGGTATGTGTTTGGTGTATGTCCGACCTCTGGGCACATGTGTTTTTGTGTGGTTTGTCTGTGGTTATGTGCCATTTGTATGCATGTGAGTGCGTATTGTTCTGCTTGTTTGTAAATTCGTAATTGCCTGTGAGCTTACTACCGTGTGTCTTGTGCACTAGTCCGTACATTTCCATGTGTGTAAGTGTGTGAATGACAAGCGTGGTATGAATTTTACGTCACCTCGCTGGCTTCAGACGCTGTGAAGTTGGAACCTCTCTCTCTTCTCAGGGAAGTTTCTGCACCCATGCGCTTCTCTAAAAGCTTCCTTGGGAAGGTTTGGAAAGTTTCTCTTGACAAGTTCAGACAACTGCTTTTGGCCCAGCCACCTAGGCCCCTGAGAAAAGGGAAAATAAAGGGTTGGTTTGATAGAAAAAAAAAATGACTTAAAATAAGGAAAAGAAAAAACACCCAAATTATTAATAATATTCCAAAGAAATGATCCTACTACTCAGGGAACCCTCAGACCTTCACTTGCTGCTGCCGGCCCCCCACTTGCTCCCCACCTCCCCAGCCTGGCCCCACTCTCTCAGGAGAGCTTGTCAGAAGCCTCAGGCTTTGCAATTGTGGCAGATCTGATGAGATAAGAGGTATCATCCCCCAGCCCACAGGTCCAGGCCTGAAGGCCGGGGCTGTGGGCGAGGAAATTCCAACAGAAAGATTCTTTGTCCCTTCCCTGCCTCTCCTTGTGCCCAACTCTCTGTCCCAATGTTGTGATTGTTGCAAAGGAGAAAAAAAGAAAACTGACCAGAGGGGCAGGAAGAGATGCCAGGGTGATCACCAGGACATAGTTCTATTTCCCAAAATCCTGTAGGTCACTCTGGCCATCCCCCTGCCTCCAAACAGAAGCCCAGGCTGACTGATAAAGTCAGCCAGGGACGAGGCTGTTCCTTTTTCTGTGTCTAACATCCACAGGATGGGGAAGTTCTTCCTAGAGGCTGACCTCGGCCCTCCCCAGTAGTCTTGAGTTTGGGGCATTTTGTACTGCCCCCACCTCCTGAACCAACCCCAGGGTTATTGTGCCCTCCCACCCCCTTCACAGATGGACCCAGTGCAGAAAGCTGTCATCAGCCACACGTTTGGGGTCCCCTCCCCTCTGAAGAAGAAGCTCTTCATTTCCTGTAACATCTGTCACCTGAGGTTCAACTCAGCGGTGAGAGGGAATAGGAGAAGCAGGCCTGGGGAGGGGTGGGTCGGGAGGGCTGGAGATTGGGCTTCCAGGGTCTTCCCAGGAGGAATACAGGTGGCAAAGGGGCTGTGGTCCATCTTTTCCATCTCATCCTCTCCTCTCCTCCTCTCTCCAGACCTCTGTCCTTTCCCTCAACCCTTCATTGCTCAGCTCCAGCCCCCTGGGACTCCATTCCTGCCCCCAGGCCCCCCTCCCCACTCCCACCTCCTGCAGGCAGGCCTCTCTCCGTGTTCTGGATCCTTCCCCGACTCCGGGTCCCAGTGGCCACCCCATTACCTCCTGGTCTGGAATTGAGTTCTTAAAGCACCTGAAAGTTTACAGAATGTGTTCATGCCCATCATCTGAATTATTTAATAGCTCTTACGACATACCCGTGAGATGGACAGAAGTGCTGTTATCATCCCACTTTTCAGATGGGGAAACTGAGCCTCAGAGAAGTTAAGTGACTTGCCTAAGGCCACACAGCTGGCAAGTAGCAAAGCTGGGATTTGAACCCAGGACTGGCTGACCTTAAGGCCTGCATACTTTCTACTATTGTCTACCCCTAGCTAGAGGAGGAGCCTCATTTTGGCCTCCCAGGAAAGGTTTACCTCCTGTCCAGGCAATCTGACACCTAGGTGTCAGCAGAACTGCTGTAGTGAAAGGGTCTAGGGAGGGCCCACGGGGCCTGTCTTTCCTACATTTCGGAGTCGTGGGCCGGGGAGCAACAAGGGGGGATGCTTAGAGGGATGACATTGACAGGTTAGATTTGGGGGTTCCCTCCAGGCTTTCGAGTTACGTGAGTCCTGCAAGAGGACAGAGAATCTGCACTGAGGGAGGGACCATGTCTTCTTCATGTGGGCCCCTGGCATGGTGCCTGGGAAATAGCAAGCTCAATAACTACCTGTTTAAAAATAACAAAGGGATGAATGTTTTGGATGCATATACCCCTAAGTGTGAGGACTGCTATTTTGTGCATTTGTACATTCATAAACTTGATAACTAACATTCATCGAGCATCTATTATATATGCTAGGTCCTTATAATTCATGTTCCCATTTAATTCTGACAATCCTGTAAAATTGGTATTATCACAAAGTTTGTGGGTGAGGAAATTCAGGCTCAGAGAGGTGAAGTGACTGGCACAAAGTAGCACCACCAGTAACTGGCAAAGCCAGGATTAGTCCCTAAATCTGTTTGACCCCAAGGCCTGTGCTCTTTCCACCACCTGGCACTGTCTGCCCGCCCCCCCCAGGGCAAACTAACTCTGTCCTCTTTCTCTCCCTGGCTGTCCCAGGTGGCCATTGCCAGCGTCCTGCACACAGAAGCCTGCCAGCGCCTGAAGGCATCCCCGTATGTGGGGCTGGTGTTGGACGAGACCAGGAACTGGCCCAAGTCCCACAGTCTGGCCCTGTTTGCCACTTCGGTGTCCCCCTGCGATGGCCAGCCTACCACCACCTTCCTGGGCAGTGTGGAGCTGCAGGAGGGTGAGGCCACTGCTGGCCAACTCCTGGACATCCTGCAGGCCTTTGGCGTATCTGCACCCAAGCTGGCCTGGCTCAGCTCAAGCCTCCCCAGTGGCCGCCTGAAGAGTGTAGGCCCCCAGCTGCGGGCCACTTGCCCACTCCTCACGGAGCTGCACTGCCTCCCTGGCCGGACAGACCCCGAGCCCCCTCCCTACCTGGGTGAATATGAGAGCATACTGGATGCCCTATTCCGCCTCCATGGTGGCCCCAGTTCCCATATGGTCCCTGAGCTCCGGGCAGCATTGGACCTTGCAGCTATTGACTTAGCAGGTCCCCGGCCAGTGCCCTGGGCCTCCTTGCTGCCTGTCATAGAAGCTGTGGCTGAAGCCTGGCCTTGCCTGGTGCCCACTCTGGAGTCCGCAGCCCCAGCCTCACCTACGGCTGGGGCACTGGCCTTGGCCCTGCGCCAGTTCACCTTTGTGGCCTTCACACACCTGCTGCTGGACGCTCTGCCCTCTGTGCAGAAGCTCGCCCTTGTCCTGCAGCCAGAAGAGCCGGACTTGGGCTTGCTGCAGCCCCTGGTGATGACGGCTACAGCCTCCCTCCAAGCTCAGCGCAGCTCAGGTGGGGCCCGCCTCCAGGGCTTCCTGCAGGAACTGGCATCCTCGGACCCTGACACGGGCAGCGGGCGCTGCACCTACCGCGGCGTGGAGCTGCTCGGCTACTCCGAGGCTGCGGTCCGGGGCTTGGAGCAGCTCCGGGGCTCTTTCCTGGACTCCATGCGGCGGGGGCTGCGGGACTCCTACCCCGGGCCCTCGCTGGACGCCGTGGCCGCGTTCGCGGCGATCTTCGACCCCCGCCGCTACCCGCCGGCGCCGGAGGAGCTGGGCGCGCACGGCGAGGGCGCGCTGCGGGTGCTGCTGCGCGGCTTCGCGCCCGCCGTGGTGCGCCAGCGGGCGCTGGGCGACTTCGCGCTCTTCAAGCGCGTGGTGTTCAGCCTCGGGCGGCTCGGCCCGAGGGCCCTGTGCGCCCAGCTGGCGTGCGAGCACTCGGAGCTGCACGAGCTCTTCCCCGACTTCGCCGCTCTCGCCGCCTTGGCCTTGGCGCTGCCCGCGGGCGCCGGCCTCCTGGACAAGGTCGGCCGCAGCCGGGAGCTGCGGTGGTGGGGGCAGAGCGGGGCAGGGGAAGGCCGGGGCGGCCACGTGGTGAAGATTGCAGTGGATGGGCCCCCGCTGCACGACTTTGACTTTGCACTGGCTGTGGAGTTCTTAGAGAGTGGGTGGGGGGAGGGGCTCCTCGGGTCGCAGCTCACCTAAGGGTGGCCGCCTTCTCTGCGCCCAGCCAGCCTGGGGCCCTGGGCACTCCAAGGGCCAAGCTGGGCCTGACGGTGCTGCCTCCAGGCTGACTTAGTAGCTATGGACTCCCCGGGCCCGGAGGCCACCCACCTGCCTTCCACATGCTTCCTCTGCTAGCAGAGCACTAGCCCTGCCTGGTGGACTGTGGAGGAAGGGACTGGGTGGGGGGGGGGGCCTGGGCACGTGGGCAGGAGGTGCTTGAGTCTGGGGCACCCTATGTCACTCCTGTCATTTGCAGAGTTGGTGAGGAGTAGCTCACCCTTTGCTCTTCTGGACTCAGCCCAAGTTTTGGCCCTAGAAAAAAAGATGGGGGTTCTTGGTTGGAGGGAGGAAACCTGGGCCTCGGGAATTGAGGGGTGAGGAAAAGGAGAATTGGCCCTTGTCTGTGTCCTAGACCCGCTCCTGACAGTAGCTCTTTTCTTCACATGTGACTGGGGAGCGCCATACTTGTTTTTGACACACAGCACAGCACCCTCTCTGTGCACAAGCTAGTGGTTCAAGGACACAACGGTTCAAGAGTGTAGTGGTGCCCTCCCTCCCCTCCTCACCAATAGGCTGCCTTAGGGCTTTTCTATAGGCGACAGTGTATATAGACCTATAAATCTATAAATGTAAAATAAATGTATCCTATCTTTCATAGCATTAACACACAAAAATCTAAAAGGACTTCTTTTGGTTTTGCAATGACAAGGGCCAAAAAAGTCCCAAATGGACTGAATTTTTTGCTAATTTTTTCTTGCTCTCCAAGTTCCTAGCCCTCCCTTGCCCATGCCTCAGATCTTTAAGACCAAAGACTGCAGAACCACAGTGCTGTACCTGCTGCCTCTGCGGCCCGGCCTCGGGCCTGACCTGGAAATCCATGTTTATCTGTCTCCCGGGGGAAGCTGTTTTGGCCTCACCAGAGCTGGGGGTCACATCCCTTCAGATCCCATGGGGTTCCCGTTCCTTCCTGTCCGCTCTTGCTGTGAATGTGTGGGGATCTCAAGGGAGGGGAGGACAGTTAGAGTGAGAGGGGAGGGGCCTGGCCTTTTCCCTAGACCCTGGGGTTTGAGTTTAATTTGCAATAAAGTGGAAACCCAGCGCATCATTGTAGTCTCCCTGGTGGTATGTATGTCAGGGACCCACCCTGAGCCCTCTGTCCCCTCTCTTAGCTGGACTCCCCTTGGGGGTTCGGTGGACTGTTACATTCTCTGTGTAGGGGCCAGAGGGTTGTCTTTCTGGGCTGGGAGCCTTGAGCTGTGGTTTCTGCTTTCCCAACTGTGGGGAGGACGGACACAGAAATGAGGCTTGTGATTGCCCTGGGTTTGGCTGGTGGCACTTTGTGAAGAGGGACAGGAGTCTGCCCTGGCTCCACACCCGAGAAGCCCACCTGCCTCTTGTGGCTGCAGTGGTAGGAGAGGCCCTGTGGCTGCTCCCTGTTTCAGACCCTGCCCTTCTTCCTCCTGCAGCAGGCCCAGCCTCCAGTGCCCCCAGCCCCCTGCTGGCCTCCCTGCCCCTGCCCGCCCGGCCTCTGCAGCCCCCGCTGGACTTCAAGCACTTGCTCGCCTTCCACTTCAATGGCGCCGCCCCGCTCAGTCTCTTCCCCAACTTCAGCACGGTACGGGCAGGGCTGGTGGGTGGGGCGTGCAGCCAAGCTTGCGGGTGGGCAGAAGGTGGGCTCAGAGGGGCCAGCTCTCTGCAGCTGGGTCTAATCAAGAGCTCATTCTCCTCCTACATTCCCCAGTAGGACTAGGTGCTCCCCAAATAGGGACCCCTGGGCCCTGCCCTCTCCTAGGCTGGGAATAAGACAGTGTCACCCCTCTCCCTACCCGTGCCATCACAACTGCTGGGCCCACAGGGCCTGTAGACTGTAGGTTCCACTTGGGTTTTTGTATAGGGACTTCTGTGGAAGACCTGTGTGTGTCTGCGTGCAATTGAGGTGTGCCTGTCTGTTGTAGAGTGTGTCTCTACAGGTCTTTGTGTGTTACGTGTGGACGTGAGTTTGTATGTTGGTGTCCAGTGTGTGTGTTTGTAAACAACTCTTTGTGCCTGGGTAATTGTATGTAATTAATATATGTGCCTAAGTATCTGAGGGTTTTTTGTGTCTTCGTGTCTTCTATGTATGTGTTTGGTGTATGTCCGACCTCTGGGCACATGTGTTTTTGTGTGGTTTGTCTGTGGTTATGTGCCATTTGTATGCATGTGAGTGCGTATTGTTCTGCTTGTTTGTAAATTCGTAATTGCCTGTGAGCTTACTACCGTGTGTCTTGTGCACTAGTCCGTACATTTCCATGTGTGTAAGTGTGTGAATGACAAGCGTGGTATGAATTTTACGTCACCTCGCTGGCTTCAGACGCTGTGAAGTTGGAACCTCTCTCTCTTCTCAGGGAAGTTTCTGCACCCATGCGCTTCTCTAAAAGCTTCCTTGGGAAGGTTTGGAAAGTTTCTCTTGACAAGTTCAGACAACTGCTTTTGGTCCAGCCACCTAGGCCCCTGAGAAAAGGGAAAATAAAGGGTTGGTTTGATAGAAAAAAAAAATGACTTAAAATAAGGAAAAGAAAAAACACCCAAATTATTAATAATATTCCAAAGAAATGATCCTACTACTCAGGGAACCCTCAGACCTTCACTTGCTGCTGCCGGCCCCCCACTTGCTCCCCACCTCCCCAGCCTGGCCCCACTCTCTCAGGAGAGCTTGTCAGAAGCCTCAGGCCTTGCAATTGTGGCAGATCTGATGAGATAAGAGGTATCATCCCCCAGCCCACAGGTCCAGGCCTGAAGGCCGGGGCTGTGGGAGAGGAAATTCCAACAGAAAGATTCTTTGTCCCTTCCCTGCCTCTCCTTGTGCCCAACTCTCTGTCCCAATGTTGTGATTGTTGCAAAGGAGAAAAAAAGAAAACTGACCAGAGGGGCAGGAAGAGATGCCAGGGTGATCACCAGGACATAGTTCTATTTCCCAAAATCCTGTAGGTCACTCTGGCCATCCCCCTGCCTCCAAACAGAAGCCCAGGCTGACTGATAAAGTCAGCCAGGGACGAGGCTGTTCCTTTTTCTGTGTCTAACATCCACAGGATGGGGAAGTTCTTCCTAGAGGCTGACCTCGCCCCTCCCCAGTAGTCTTGAGTTTGGGGCATTTTGTACTGCCCCCACCTCCTGAACCAACCCCAGGGTTATTGTGCCCTCCCACCCCCTTCACAGATGGACCCAGTGCAGAAAGCTGTCATCAGCCACACGTTTGGGGTCCCCTCCCCTCTGAAGAAGAAGCTCTTCATTTCCTGTAACATCTGTCACCTGAGGTTCAACTCAGCGGTGAGAGGGAATAGGAGAAGCAGGCCTGGGGAGGGGTGGGTCGGGAGGGCTGGAGATTGGGCTTCCAGGGTCTTCCCAGGAGGAATACAGGTGGCAAAGGGGCTGTGGTCCATCTTTTCCATCTCATCCTCTCCTCTCCTCCTCTCTCCAGACCTCTGTCCTTTCCCTCAACCCTTCATTGCTCAGCTCCAGCCCCCTGGGACTCCATTCCTGCCCCCAGGCCCCCCTCCCCACTCCCACCTCCTGCAGGCAGGCCTCTCTCCGTGTTCTGGATCCTTCCCCGACTCCGGGTCCCAGTGGCCACCCCATTACCTCCTGGTCTGGAATTGAGTTCTTAAAGCACCTGAAAGTTTACAGAATGTGTTCATGCCCATCATCTGAATTATTTAATAGCTCTTACGACATACCCGTGAGATGGACAGAAGTGCTGTTATCATCCCACTTTTCAGATGGGGAAACTGAGCCTCAGAGAAGTTAAGTGACTTGTCTAAGGCCACACAGCTGGCAAGTAGCAAAGCTGGGATTTGAACTCAGGACTGGCTGACCTTAAGGCCTGCATACTTTCTACTATTGTCTACCCCTAGCTAGAGGAGGAGCCTCATTTTGGCCTCCCAGGAAAGGTTTACCTCCTGTCCAGGCAATCTGACACCTAGGTGTCAGCAGAACTGCTGTAGTGAAAGGGTCTAGGGAGGGCCCACGGGGCCTGTCTTTCCTACATTTCGGAGTCGTGGGCCGGGGAGCAACAAGGGGGGATGCTTAGAGGGATGACATTGACAGGTTAGATTTGGGGGTTCCCTCCAGGCTTTCGAGTTACGTGAGTCCTGCAAGAGGACAGAGAATCTGCACTGAGGGAGGGACCATGTCTTCTTCATGTGGGCCCCTGGCATGGTGCCTGGGAAATAGCAAGCTCAATAACTACCTGTTTAAAAATAACAAAGGGATGAATGTTTTGGATGCATATACCCCTAAGTGTGAGGACTGCTATTTTGTGCATTTGTACATTCATAAACTTGATAACTAACATTCATCGAGCATCTATTATATATGCTAGGTCCTTATAATTCATGTTCCCATTTAATTCTGACAATCCTGTAAAATTGGTATTATCACAAAGTTTGTGGGTGAGGAAATTCAGGCTCAGAGAGGTGAGGTGACTTGCCCAAAGATACACAGCTACTAAGTGGCTGAGTTAGAATTCGAAGACAGAGGCTGCTTGCCTTGGAGCTCAAGTATGAGAACACATTCTGTAAACCTTGGGACCACGCTGTGATGATGAGGACAATGACAAGGATTTGACTGTTATGAGACCCAAGCCTTGCCTCCCTTTGACCTGTCTCCCTGCTCAGCTCCTGCTTTGGATGGGGCATGTGGACTCAGCCAATGAATGGTGACCTCATGCCCTCCCCTCCCCAGAACCAGGCTGAAGCACATTACAAAGGCCACAAACACGCCAGAAAACTCAAGGCTGTCGAAGCTGCCAAGAGCAAGCAGAGGCCACAAACCCTGGCCCAGGATGGGGCAGTGGTGTCCCCGATTCCGACGCTGGCCAGTGGAGGCCCCGGAGAGTCACAGAGCAAAGGTCAGTCCTGAAATCTTCTCCTCCGCCTCTCCCTACTCTACTCTGACATCTGGTTTCTGAAAAAGGGTTGAGAGATTTCTGCTTATTAATTTTGCTTATGTTGGAGCATTCCATACATACAACAAAGGCACCTGCATCTACAGCTCGATGAATTTTCCCAGTCTGAACATACCCTGATCAGGAAACATGTTCCCGGCACTCAGAAGCCTGCCTTGGGCCCTTCCCAGTCACCATCTTGCTGTATTAGCTTCCTAGGGCTGCCATCACAAATGACTACAAACTGGGTGGCTGAAAACAACAGAAATGTTTTTGTCCCACAGTTCTGAAGTTCAGAAGTCTGATATCAAGGTGTTGACAGGGTTGGCTCCTTCTTGGGGGCTCAGAGGGAGAAACTGCTCCATGCCTCTCTCCCAGCCTCTGGTGGCTGCGGCAGTCCTCTGCGTTCCTTGGCTTGTAGATGCATCTATGATCCCTGCCTCTGTCTTCACACCACGTTCTCCCCTGTGTGTCTCATGTCCACATGCTCTTCTTATACCGATACCAGTCACTGGATTAGTCCCTCCCTAATCCAGCATGACGTCACCTTAACTAATTTTATCTGCAAAGACCCTGTGTCCAAATAGGGTTACATTCCGAGGTTCCAGATGGACATGAATTTTGGGGGGAGATACTATTCAACCAACTACAGATCCTGATTTTTCTCTGCATACATAAGTTTCACTTGATTTTGATGAATCAGAGTATGTAGATTTTTGTGTCTGGGTTTTGTTCCTGTCATGTTCATCGACATTGTGTCCATAAGATTCACCCATGTTGCTGCATGTAGCTGCAGTTTGTTCTTTTTCGTTGCTATTAGCACTCCACGGCATGACCATACCACTGTTTTCAAAAAAGTTATTCTTTTGTTGATGGCCATTTGGATGGTTTTCAGTTTTATGCTATTATGAATCATGCTCTATAAACATTCTAGTGCATCTTTTTGGTGATTTCTGCTTATTTAATGGTTAGCAAATAACTAGGATATCAGGACTTCAAGGGCTTTCTGAGACTACTCTGTCCAATATTATAATTTCAGCTGGGGAAACTGAGGCCCAAGTCTGCCCAGTGAGTTAGTGGGAGAGTGGGGGCCCAGGATCCAGTGCTGGTCACCCCTCCACCAGGGACCCCTCCACCCTACCATGCCACCTCCATCGTCAGTGCTTGGAATCATGGTCCAGAGGATCATCTCGGGCCTCACACTCTCCTCTGATGCCTCCCATGCCCCCAGCAATTCCTGCAGCTCCTCCTCTCGGCCCTCCACTCCAGCCACCACTGACTCCAGACCCCGCACCCAGGGAGCCAGCCCATGCAGACCTCTTGGATGCTGCCTCCTCCTCCTCTTCTTCCTCCTGCCCACCTTGCTCCCCAGAGCCTGGGAGAGAGGCGCCGGGGCCTGACCCGGCGGCGGCTGCTGTGGAAAGCAGTGTGAGTGGGGAAGGCAGGAGTGAGAAGGGGCGCCTCTACTGCCCCACATGTAAGGTGACCGTGAACTCGGCCTCCCAACTTCAGGCTCACAACACAGGTCAGTGCCCCCAGGAGCTGGAGCCCAGGGGAGGTGGGGGACAGGCAGGCCTGTGTGCCCAGGTGCTTTACTCAAGGACTGGATAGCAGACGTGTTGTATGCAGCTGTTATTGGGCAGGCATTGCTGGGCGCCCCCGCTCATCCCTGGGGTGGGAGAATTGGGAAGAGGAGTCTGGGGCAGTAAGAACTGAAGGTCACTACATTTCTGAAAGGTCACTCCAGAGAAGACAGGAGATCCTTCCTCCCTCTCTCCTTAGATCAGAACCAGAAGGGATTGAAATTAGAGCAAAAGGGAAGCCAACCGGTTGCCCTGCGAGAAGGCCTTCCTTGGGGGAGGTTGGCATGAAAAGAGAAAGGCTGGGAGGAGAAATCCGACGTGGCTGGAGGGCAACGTGTGTGCAGAGCAGCCCCGAGGCAAAGGGGCCCTTGCAGCCCCTCTTCTGCGCTGACACACTTTCTTCCCTCCCTCCAGGAGCCAAGCACCGGTGGATGGTGGAAGGTCAGCGAGGGGCTCCCCGCAGGGGCCGGGGCCGCCCGGTGCCCCAGGGAGGGGCTGGACACAAGGCCAAGAGAGTGACAGGGGCCCGGGGTGGCCGGCAGGGGCCCAGCCCCCCTTTCCACTGTGCTCTCTGTCAGCTCCAGGTCAATTCAGAGACTCAGCTCAAGCAGGTGGGACAAGTGGGGCCAGGACTGGGGTTGGAGCCAGGGGTGGCGGCCGGGGCAAGGCAAGGCAGGAAAAGAGGGAGCCTGGAGAGAGAGGTGGGTAGAGCAGAGTAGGGAGGGCTGGTGGGGCAGGAGCAAGGCCAGCTGGCTGTGGGCTCCTTGAGGGTGAAGGCCAAGTCCTACCTCCCCTTCCCAGAGCCTACCCCAAGCAATGGTGCTTTGAACGTGTGAGTAGTGGGTAGAGCAAGGGTGAGAGAGTTGAGAATGACAGAGTAGTCTTGAGGTCCTTGGGCTTCCTAGTCTTGTCCCCAGTCTATCTGTCTGTTCATTAGCACATGAGCAGCAGGAGGCACAAAGACCGCCTGGCGGGGAAGCCCCCCAAGCCCTCCAGCCAGCACAGCAAGCTGCAGAAGCATGCAGCCCTGGCCGTGAGTATCCTCAAGGTATCTGTCTCCAGGCAACAGAGCTGGGACCCAGGTGGGGAGGGGAGACAGTGGGCTGGCAGTGGGGGGGGGGGGCAGCTGGGGGTGGGGAGGAAGGAAGCTGCCCAGCTCGGAGGCAGGGAAGGAGCTGGGGTTGGGTTTTTGGCTGTCCTGGGATCTGCCCAGAGGAATTTCCGGGGAGGCGGGCTTGGGTAGGAGCTGGGCTGGGGCAGGAACCTTAGGGTCCAGACTAAGGGGTGGGCGTCCATCTCCTAGAGACCATCCCCACCCCACCTGCACCCTCCTCCCTTCTCCCACCCCGAGATTTTCCTCCCTCTGGGCAGGAAGACAGGTGGTAGAGAAAGCCCTTCGGAATGAATGTTTGGGGGTGGAAAGGGAGGAGGATTTAGGTTTGGAACTCTAAAAGGCACGTTTTTCCTGCAGCAAAACACCCGAAGATGGGGCCCAGGGAGGGAGTGGGATTTTCTGGGTTACAGACTGTGTCCATTCCTTTTTTTTTCTGTGTAGTCTAAACTGGCCTTGCAGAAGCAACTCGCCAAGACGCTGGCAGCTCGCTTCCTACCCAGCCCACTGCCCACCACAGCCACTGCCATCTGTGCCCTGCCTGGGCCCCTGGCTCTCCGACCTGCCCCCACAGCAGCCACCACCCTATTTCCAGCTCCGCTCCTGGGCCCAGCTCTGTTTCGCACCCCAGCGGGAGCCGTCCGCCCTGCCACGGGACCCATCGTCTTTGCCCCATATTAGCCCTCACGGAGAGGCCAGGGCTGAGTTCCCAACAGCCACTCACCATCTCCTCCTGTCCACAAGATGCTTCCATTTCCTACATCCCACAGGGACTGCCTTCCACAGGCTAGGGGGTCCTGCCCGGACTGGGAAGGGCTGGCCTAGTTTTAAGGGCAGCTGCCTTTCCCTGTCTGGACCAGGGATTCAACCAGTAGCCCCCTAGTCCAAGGACCATCCCCACCTTCCTGTCCCAGGCCTTCTGGGCTAGTCCTAGGCTCCCCTGCACTTCCCAGCCTGATAAATCCCAAAGATCTATGCAAAATCCCAGCCCCAGCCATGGGGTGCTCTCATTTTCATGGACCCAAGACCTACACCCACATGGCCAGACTCTAGGAATCCTGGCTTCTACAAGCCAGCCTCACCCAGCCTGGGACAAGCCCATGACCTCCATGGCCAGGCTCAGGGCCTCACTGGATTCTCTGGAGTCACTGGAGATAGGGGATGGGGTCTCAGGCTGGAGTGGGCTCAAGGCTATCAGGACAAGGTGACCGTGGGGGTGTGGCAAAGGACCATGGAAAAGAAAGGGGGACGCAAGAGTCCCTTGATCAAGCAGTGCTGAGGTGGGACAGAGCCAAGGAAGTAGGGTGAGGGCTGGCTCTGAAAGCTTTTAGGAGCCTCATCTGTTCCAACAGGATGTAGCTAAAGTGGGGCTGGTGACAGCGATGTTCTGACTGGGCCCAATTTCAACAGAGGGAGTGACCCATCCCACAAAAGCTCTCCCTTCTTAGCCTTTCACTGAGTCCTCCTGAACCCCAGCTCTTGGGGGGGCGGTCACTGGGTCTCCCTCAGACCATGGACCCGGCTAACACTAAATCCCCCCAGGGGTCCCAAAGAAAGAGCTTCCCCTCCAACTCCCCACTCCTGGCCCCCAGCACTAAATTCAGCTTTCCCTCTTCTCAACCGGACCGGCACCCCACTGTGAAGCAGAGTGCTGGGACGCAGTCTGACACCCACTCGAGGGACCCATCTTCATGCGGTCAAAGGCAATGTCACAAACTCCATCCCACCCCTTACCCCACCATATGGGACTTTGCCAGTATCCACCTTGTATCTTGTTTTTTTAAAGATATTTCCAATGGGAGAACAAGAAAAAGGGGGGAGGGGAGGGAAACTTTTTGATAACAGCAGTTGTGGTTTTATTGTGTCCAAAGCATCAATAAATTAACTTGAAGCCCGAGCCTGTACATGTCCTGATCCTACTTGCCCAGCCCTGGGCACCTGCTCCGCTCACCTCTCCTGTCTTGGGGAGAAGGGGCGAGGACTGGAGGTTGCCTGGCTGCAGGGTCTCGCCCAGGCTGGGTGTGTGCACTAGAAGCACGAGGTGGGCACAGAAGTTGTGTGTTATAAGCTGGCTGTACAGCCGGTCTGAGCGTGTAGCCACCCTCTGAGCCCCGACGGAAGACCTGCCAGCTCCTGAGAAGCTGCTACTGGTTTGCCTTGTTCTGTTCAGGCATCTGAGGTAAGAAGGGCTTTAGAGGAGCACCTTGGCCAGCCTTCACCACAGCAGCAGGCAGGTAAATACAGGTCACTTTTAAACAGAAGTCCAGCCATGAGCTGAAAACCACCACAGGAAGGGATGAAGCCCAGCCCCACGGGCAAGAGAGGTCTGCAGGTTGGGCACTGAGCGGCCACTCTGGCAACCGAGTGGAAAGAGCACTCCCGCCCCCTGGTGGTTGGAGGGAGCGTTGTCCCAGCCGCCAGGGCTGGTGGGCTTAGCACCTTGAAGAGGGAGAGGCCACAGCTTTATAAAACCGTAGAGCTGGAGAGGATCCGGGAGATCAGCTAAGCAACTCCCGTCACCTTACAGATGAGAAAACTGGCGCCGAGAGGGGCAAGGTCTTGCTGGGTCACAAAGTCAGCTGGTCATCACTCCATTCCACCTCGACCAATGAGGCCTATCTGCTCCCTGAGCAGGAAGAGGAAGTGAAACAATTGGGGGTGGGAGCGGTGTTTAGAACAGAATTACACTCCCAGGAGGCTAGCTTCTTTCAGCCGGGGAAAGGACAGGAGAAAGGTCAGGGTGAGGGATGAGGAGCATGCCAGCATACACACACAATACCTGGACACTCCTCTAGTATCCAGGTGTGCGTGCGTGCAGTGTGTGTGTATGTATGTGTGTGTGTGTTTTATTGGCAGGAAGCCCAGAAGGTGGGACTCCTATAATAGGAACCCGACCCTAGAATGGGTACCTCTGCATGGTAGCTCTGCTTCCTGTCCAGAACAGATGGAAGGGACAATGACCCACAACTGCCCCAGGTGACAGAGGCAGATAGGATGAAAGCTGGGGGTGGGGGTGGGGAAGAGGCTGGATGTTTGAGGGGAGGGGGTGCTAACCAAGATTCTTTGCACTTCCTGGAGTTGAGAGGGAGCAAAAGTGGGCTTGCCTAGTGGGGAGCTCCCCTGCTGATCGGAAAGGACAGCTTGCCTGCCCCTCCCCACCTTTGCCCTCAGCCCATTTTCCAGAGCCCCAGAAGCTAGAATGGGGCTGGGAGAGTGAAGGAATGGCAGCTCTTCAGCCATCTAAGGAGCCGCTGCCCTTGTTCTTCCGGCTGAGGGGGAAGGCTGACTTGCTCTGGGGCTGGGTCATCTTGCTGGCCAGGTAAACAAAGGGCTCCAGGAGGGAGCGGCGGTCAGCCACCGACACCTCCCACAGCTTCACCTTCTCCGACTTGGCCCAGTGCTGAGCCACATCTGGGTCTACACGCCGCTGCTCCTGGAGATCACACTTGTTGCCAAGGACCACGATGGTGACCTGGGGAAGAGGGACAGTGTAGAGGCCTGTGGATAGACCATGGACCCAGGAACAGGTATAGGGGCTGGTAGCCACCTAGGAATTCTATGAGAGAAAAGTCTCAATGACTGATATCTCATCTCTTTCTACATTAGAAACCATTGATGAAGGAGAAGGAAATGGTTGTTTTTTCTTCTTCCTCTGTTCAAATTCTGGCCTCCATCTGGCCCTCCTCCCAGGAGTTCTATCACAAGCCCTATTGTAATCCATACATGCTCACTGCCTGCAGTCACTAGTTGTGGCTAAACAACTGGTGAGGAAGCACACCCAGAATACCTGTAGCTTAGAGGGGGATTTTGGAGACCAGAAGAGCCTTCATAGTTAAGAACACAGAACTGTCAAGAAGAAAGATTAGAGGAGGCTTCATGTGTTAGGTCAGGGACCCCATAAGCTAAAGAGAAGCCTCTTTGGTTGAGCAGCCTCAACACGTGGCCACCTCTGAGGTGAAGACACCCTCAGTGGCCTCTACCCCACCTTTAGCTCCTAATTCACCTCCTGGCAAATAAGTGAAGAATGGAGCCATGCCACAACCCCCAAAGCCAACCCAGGGCCCACGCTCTCTCGGAACCTAGGACACGCACCTCCTTCTTGTCCTTCGATTTGTCAATCTCCTTCTTGAGCAGCTCCACACGCTGAAAGGACTCTCGGCTGTCTGTGCTGTAGACCAGGACGTAGCCATCAGTGCAGGAGAAGCAGTGCCGGGGCAGTTCAGCCCCATCTCGGAGCCCCCGGGTGTCGTAGAAACGCACCTGCTCCCGCACACCCCGGTCCGTCTCAATGGAGCCCACATAGATGTCCTCCTGAGTCTCGATCATCTCAGAACCTGGGATAAAATGAGAAGACTGTTTGAAGTGGGGAGGGAAATAGGAGATGTGAGTGATGAGGACATCCTAACAGGCTGACCAGATAGGGAGAGAAAGGAATGTGGGGGCTGAGGAGTAGAGGACAGAGAATTTAGAGTCTGGCCAGGACTAAAATGATCTGGGGAAACAGACATTAATCTCACACTCATACCACGCTAAGCAAAAGTGTGACATGGGAGCTTGGCCTCCCTATCTTGTTTATTGGGTTTCCTCCCTCCAGATTTGTTTAATGTCGTAGAGTTGGCGTTTATGATATTTTACTCTTCAGGGTGCAAACACCGCCAGGAGCAGCTCTTAGCCTTTGCATATTGTGATCAAATCCTACTCCCTGGGTGAGGTATGGTGGCTCATGCCTGTAATCCTAGCACTCCAGAAGGCCAAGGCAGGAGGATTGCTTGAGGTCAGGAGTTCGAGACCAGCCCGGGCAAGAGTAAGACCCCATCTCTACCAAAAATAGAAAAATTAGCCGGGTGTGGTAGTGCACGCCTGTAGTCCCAGCTACTCAGGAGGCTGAGGCAGGAGGATAACCTGAGCCCAGGAGTTTGAGGTTGCTATGAGCTAGGCTGATGCCATGGCACTCTAGCCCAGGCAACAGAGAGAGACTCTGGCCCCTGCCCCCAAAAAACAAAAACAAATCCTACTCCTTATTCTTCAGTTTCTTCCACCATTCCCCTACCACCACCAACACTCACCCACTACATGGTTCCCATACAGAAGCTGCTCCAGGATTGAAGTTTTGCCCACAGATGCTTGGCCGCACACGACCACCTTGCAGCTCTTCCCCATGCTTGGCCTTCAACCTTAGGGAACAGAAGGACACTGAGTGAGGTGAGGGAAGAGAGGATCAAAACAGAAGGCAGATCTCCCATAACTGAGAGCCCAGGTTCTGCACTGACTGCGTAGCCTCAGAGATTCAGTACCTCCCTATCTAGCAGAGGGTATTGAACTGATCTATGTCCACTACTGGACAGTGAGCTGTATTTTATTCATCGTTGTTATTCTCAGTACATAGTCAGTATCTGGCACAGTGCAGATGCTCAGTTAATGTTGCTATAAGTGGAGAGGAGAGTCATTGGTTTAAAGAAACCACTAGCCAGGTTCCTTTCTGTGCACAGGATGTGGAGAGAAGGAATTAGTTAAGGGAGCTCAGCCCAAGTTCTTCTCTTCAACCATGACCCCATGGAGAAAGAAGCTGGAATAGTATCTTAAGCCACCTTCTATTTGCTTCCTGCAAATAGAAGCCACTCCCTTCTATTTGCAGGGAGCAAATAGAAAGGATGATTTGCTTTTCTCTATGACTTATGTGGACAATCAATCAATTCCCTCTAACCCCCAGTCAAGTCTATGGCTAAGAAGAAGAACATCAGAGAAGAGAGAAAGGAGTGAAGGAATCTAAGCAAAAAAGCCTTTGGAAAAGAGACAATTTTTGCTGCCCTTGGACTCAAAGACCCAGAAGAGAAAACCCAGACACAGAAACCCGATTTCTGAAGAGGCCCCAGAAAGAGATCTCCCCAAAGGCAAACTTCCAAACACAAGCTCCCCAAGAGCTTCGGACAGATTCCGCCCCCCCACCCCCGAAGAGCAGAGACAGAGACCAATTGCCAAGAGGGTCCCAGACAGAAACCTCTCCACAGGAAGCTCCTGACACAGGCCCTCTCCCCATATTGTGAGCCCCGCAATTAAGGGATACCCCAGGAGAGGCTGCCAGAGGGGTCAGAGGGAATAAGAGGCAGAGACCTGCCACCTTGAGAGGCGGAGGCCGATCCCGGCGCTGGACGAGCCTCGCCTCCCAGCTCCGCACCTCCCGGGGTCCCGCAGCACCAGCCGGGACCCTTGCAGCTCGCGGGGACGAGGGGCGGGGCAGCGCGCCTGCAAGCGCTCGGCTCTTGCTCGGGGGTCAGCTGGCTCCGTCGGGCCCCGCCCCCGCCGTGTGCCCGCCCCCCAGCTTCCGTCCCGCAGTACGAATTCCGGCGGCCGAGAGCGGACGCCGGCCACACAGCGCTCCCGGAGGCCGGAGGGGGAATGACGGCCAGGATCAGGCCTGTTGTGCGCGGGAGCATCAAGTTCTAGGCTCCGTGGACGTGGGTTGCTGTTCTGGTGTCTCTGATGCCAAATATTCACTCACTCTCTAAAGGCTGCCATAGTACTGTAACGCTTTTTTTACTCATTTACACATCAAATGCTTTCTGAGCACCTACCCTGTACCAGGTGCAGGGCCCCATGCTGAGAAAAAGCGGACAAGTTAGACACGGTGGCTGCCCATCAGAACTTCACCGACTGGAGGAGCTAGATAATAAGCCAACAGTTACAGTACACCATGGTGAGTAGTATTACAGAGGTGCTATGGGGGCACAGCAAAGGGGCATTTAACTTAGAGACAGAGGGCATTAAGGAGAAATTTCCGGGGGCGGTCACATCTGTGTTGAGGTTTGAAGGGATTGAGGGGAACAGGTGTGCTAGGATGGAGGAAAGATGTAAGAGTCATGACATTTTCTGGAACTACGAGTACTTGGGTTCAACATTGGTGGTAGAAAGGAGCCAAATAATCAGAGTGTTAGGCGAGAAAGGTCGAACTGATGGCAATGAAAAGCCATTGCCAATGAAGTTATGTGGTCAGTTTTGCATGTTAAGAAGGTCACTCTCGCAGAAGAGGGAAGATTGGAGAGAGATGAGACTGGGCCAATGAGGAGAATATTGTAGTATTCTGAGTTTTTTTGTATCTTTTATTTTATTTCTTTTTTTGAGACTGGGTCTCGCTCTGTCACCTGGGCTAGAGCACAGTGGCATCATATTAGCTTATTGCAACCCCAAACTCCTGGGCTCAAGCAATCCTCCTGCCTCAGCCTCCTGAGTAGCTGGGACTACAGGTGTATGCCACCAGCTGACTAATTTTTCTATTTTTAGTAGAGACAGGGTCTCGCTCTTGCTCAGGCTGGTTTCAAACTCCTTGCCTCAAGCAATCCTCCTGCCTCAGCCTCCCAAAGTGCTAGGATCACAGGCATGAGCCACCGTGCCCGGTCCTGTTTTATTTTTTATTTTTTAAGAGGTGAGGGTCTTACTATGTTGCCCAGGCTGGATTTGAACTCCTGGGCTCAGGTGATTCTCCAAACCCAGCCACGCAAGTAGCTGGGACTACAGGCGTGCACCACTGTGCCCCGTGTATTCCAAGTTAAAAAAAAAAAAATGATGAAAGTCTGAATTGGGATGGAAAGGAGATGCATTTGAAGGATAATTTGGTTGGCGAATCAACAAAACTTGTTGATGTATTGGAAGTCAGGAGTGAGAAAGAGGGAGGAGTTCCTATCTTCCATCTTTCTCATTTGATGCATGGTTGAATACATTCAACAAGATAAGGAATTCAAGAAAGTGAATCAAGGACATATAGCATTTTTTTCTGTTGTTGAGGGGAGGGGAGAGAATGAAAAATTCAATCTAAATATGTTAAGCCTTGGGGGTTTATGAAACATCCAAAAGATAGCTAGTAGATAGTTGGAAATACAGGTCTGGAACTTGGAAGAAAGGTCTAGGTTGGAGATATCAAGAGTTGAAAGTCATCTAAAGATGAAGTTAAAGCTGTGGGAGCAAATGAGTTAGCGTAGATATAGAGAACACAAAGTGGGAAGATGGTCAAAGACAAGTCTGCTAGATTTAGACTGTAGACTGTGAGCCACTGGCAGGCGAGCAGGTGGTCTGGTAGTCTTGTGCTCTCCCAACCTAGCAGAGCAGGCATTTTGGAAAAGGCAATATTGAATGATTGGCTGGACAAATGTCCCCAGCCACCCACCCACTCCAACCTAGTGAGCTTCTCCTATCCTTCCCTACCCAGTGGTCCGGGTGGTTTCAGCTCCCTCTGCACTGATAAGCCGGAACCATGAAAACAGGGTAGGGACATTGACAAATACTGTTTTTCTGGAGGAAGCAGGTAGATCCTTTTTAAATTCCCTTGCCCCCTTATTTTAGTTTTCCTTAGTTTTAAATTATAACTGCAAACTTCCCCAACTTAACCTCAGAAAGTCTCAATTTAATTCAACTCCATAAATACTGGTTTGGGTGAGGAAAGAACAACGAAGATGGTTGAACTGTGTCCTCGCCCCCTATGAGTTCCTAATCCCGACTGCATTCTGCAAGACAAGTGTGCTGAGCACGGAATTTATAGGAGAGGTGGAATACGGGGGACAATGAGGAGCAGGGACCTCACCCCGTGAGCTTCCTTATAAACTCCGGGGCACGGTCCGGGGCGCCATGTCATGCCAGCCTCCCTAGGCTTAATGCTGAGATGGCACTCCCAGGCGGCTGACATGAAAGCAGCCTCATAAAAGGGTCAGCGTCATTAGGGTGATGAACCAGTTGGTGCTTGGAGATTCGGGGGGATGAAAGGCGCCGGGTGAAGACGCCCTGCGTTCCCCTGGCTTGGCTGGGCAGGGCTTCCAGGGAACGATGAAAGCTAGGAGAACTGGGCTCAGTGTCTCTTCTTGCCGTTCCCGGGAGGAAGCTGTGGACACGCTCCAAGGTCGGGAAAGTAGCAGTGGGGACTCTTTCCCTCCAGAGTTTTGGTCACCTAGTCCCAACTTAACCCAGAATCCCCTGAGACTTACAGCAGACTCTCGAGGATTGGAAATTACTATGGCAACAAGGCTTTTGGAATACTGAAAAAAGCCAAACCCTAGAGAGGCTACACGCTGTTGTAATCCCCGTTTCCTACCCACGGGTAAAGTGGCGCCCCCTACGCACAGAAACCGTCCTTGGGCCCCCGCTCCGGCGCGGAGACCAACGTGGACCTCCGGGGGCGGGAGGCCACTCTGGCCCCAAGCGGAGCTTCTCGCTGGTAGACGGGCCCGAGGGAGCCCCTCTGGGCGCGGCGCCGCTGAGCTGCTCGATGCTCCAACCGGAAGTGCTCTTCACCGCCTGCCTCCCACCTGGCTCTCTGGTCCCGGCGGTAAGATGGCGGCTGCCGCGGAGTGCGATGTGGTAATGGCGGCGACCGAGCCAGAGCTGCTAGACGACGAGGAAGCGAAGAGGTAACCGGGTGGCAGGGTAATAGAGGGGACGAGCTTCAGCTCCGTTGCTCAGGGAAGCCCGTCCCTGCCAGGCTGCAGCCTCACAGCTATTGAGGCGATGCCCCGCCCTCCGCGAACACCCCCCCAATCTGAGATCAAGTCCAGGTGGAGCCCTTGAAGGGGTCTCTCGTGGGGGTCGGCCTTCCTCTCCCGCTTGCACCTGGCGGGGGAGCAGAAGTACGGCCTTGTTCTCCAGCTGCGGATAAGGTCGTCCTTATTGTGGAGGCCTGATTTCTGAGGCGTACCTCAGTGATCTGTTGTGAAGTGGGGGAGGCGGCGCGGCGTTGATGACGACTTCCTTGCATCGTCCTCGACCCCCGCCTTCTCTTGTTAACTTGTGTGCATTGTTGTCTGTCTGCACTTTCCATCTCCAAAGCCCTTGTTCCCTCATCCCGTTTCCCCCGGTAATTATGCCCCAGCTACCGCTAATCTGGGTCCGAGGTGATTGTGTGTATCAATTATTGACCTGGTCGCCCCCAAGTTACCCCAGAAGTCGAAGATAGCGAAAGGAGAGTGAGGGGTTTATCTCATGTTCTACACGTCAGATTCCTCTTCCCCCATCCCGCCTGGATGAGATCCTTGTCCCTTCCAGGACTGTATTTTCTTAAGTTAAGCAGCAAGAAGGAGGGCAACTGCTTGGGCGCTGTTGGCACTCCTAGGCAGCCGCAGTGGCTCGAGATTGCCAGTCGGGACTAGCCAAGGCAGTTGCTGAGTGAGTGGTTTTCGAGAACACTCTGGATTCTGGCAGCAGCTAAGCCAGGTTAGTGGAAGTGGGGGTGGAACACAGTTGTGGGTCATCATACTTGTTCTAACCCTAAAGCAGAATTGATGAAAAGGTTCTGGAAGTTTTGAGACGCTTCTTTATCACCTGCAGGTTAATTTGATCCTTTTGTTCAGGATTGACTACAATATCCTTAGTCTCCTCATATATTTTATTTCTTTATACCAAGCCCTGTATGTTTTCAGTCTGGGCAGTTTAAGGTGGTGATGTAGAATTAGTTCATGAGATCTAAAATCAGGATTTTAGATCTTTTCTAAGATTTTTACTATCCAAATTAGAAATATAAGAGGTACGCATGCACAGTGAATAGTTATCAAGCCAGTGTCTCACGTTCCTGACCTGTTGGGAGCTGAGAAGCTTAACAAAGTGTAATAAGTTAGAGATACCAGAGAAGCCATGATACCAGAGGCCAATCTCTCTCTTTTTGTAGTTTTGAGTTTTCATGTTGTTTCCTGCTGCTTTCCAGATATTTAAAGTTAAGCATCATTAGCTCATTTACATCATTAAGGAATTACAAAATGAGAAACAAAACTCCTCCCAACACAGCTTAAATGAATAATAGCAATATATTTGTATTTGGAAAGAGTTCAGTGGTTTTTTGTGCAATAAATAGGGACTTGACCATAGGTAGTTTTAAAAACTCATCCTACTCAGTGTAAACCTCTGATATAGAGTCCCTAATTTGGGTTTTATTCAAAGCCCTCTGTCTAAAGCAAATCTGTTTTCTTAAAAAAAAAAAAATCACAGCCTTAGAGGATATTCTATTATAAAATTGTAGTAAGTTAAGCTATATTAAGAAACATAAAATAGGTAATGCTGTAATGTGACTACATCTCACGAAATATATGATGTTTGGTAGCAGTACACCAAAATAATGGAGGGTGTTGACTTATGTTAACCACCTTATTTCATGGAGTTTAAGATGTCATTGATTGTAAAATGCGCAGTTATATCTCTCAGTAAGAAAACATAGGCCGGGCGCAGTGGCTCACGCCTGTAATCTTAGCTCTCTGGGAGGCCGAGGCTGGTGGATTGTTTGAGTTCAGGAGTTTGAGACCCCGTCTCTACTAAAATTAGAAAGAAATTAGCCGGACAACTAAAAATATATAGAAAAAATTAGCCGGGCATGGTGGCGCATGCCTGTAGTCCCAGCTACTCGGGAGGCTGAGGCAGGAGGATCGCTTGAGCCCAGGAGTTTGAGGTTGCTGTGAGCTAGGCTGACACCAGGGCACTCTAGCCTGGGCAACACAGTGAGACTCTGTCTCAAAAAAAAAAACATAAACTATGAAAAATGCATTCTTACCAAATAGACATATACTTCATATATTTATATAGAGCTCCTTTAGACATTAAAAACCATAGACGTTTATTATATACCACTTCTGTGCACAAATCAAAATGAAAACAGGTGAAATAAACAAAAAAATTAGTTTGACTTTTTGTCATCTAAGGCATCCTTAGCAAGGTAAACATTAGGCTCTGCTAATTTGAAAAGGCCTTGTTGATGATTTTCCAGTGCTGAAAATGGAGTGGAGATTTAGAAGCTTTGGAGGGAGGTGGTTTTATGTTTTTCATGTTTCCTGGAACCCTCCTGTGTAGGCATAGCAGAAGGCAGTGGAGGGACATCCCTTACAAATGCCCTTTTACTGTCTGGCTTGGTTAGAGTCATTTGGCTGAGTTCCTGTCTCTCTTGTTACAGTCCTACTACCAGTGCACTTAGGGACACAAGAGTTGATGAGTCTCTTGGGTTGTTGTTGTGAGGTCCAACAAGGAGTCCTTTCCTTCCTTACATTTCGGCTCAAGTGCACCCTGCTGCTGCTGCTGCTGCTGCTAAACTGTCACAGTCCCACAGGGGGCAAAATGAGAGGAGCTTTTAAGACATTGGACCTCATGGTGGCAGCATTTTAAATGGCTGCATGTTTTATTCTCCTTAGCTTTAGTGTCTCTAGAGAGGAAAGAAATGGATTTCAATTTTTTTTGCCTGTCATTCTGACAAAGTTATAGCAGCTAAGAGGCTGAAATAAAAGATGTATTAGCTGGCACTTCAAAATCATGAAGATTATTTGTTTCTCTTTGCCCACCAGAACAGATTAAGCTACTTAGGAATCAGAAGGTTAAATTTCAGAAGTTTTGCATTTCAACTAACTTTCCTGGGAAGTTGCTGACTCCTTTACCTAAAACGTGAATACCTTAAAGCTTTCTGGGCTGGGGAGCAGCTTGGTCTCTATAGGTAGCCTTTTATCATGGGAAATGTGAGGGGTTTCAGGTATCTCAGTGTATACCTGGACAGTGAGGTCTAAAAGAATCAAGGAAGCCATACCGTGAGGAGCAGGGACATCTTTACCTGATTCCTTGAGCTGATAATTGTAACTTCTCTGTATCTGTCTTCCTGGTGGATCAAACAAGAGCAATTGTTCATACGCCTTTTCTTAGTATGTAGATATTGTAAACTCTTTGTGGATTAGCATTTTGCCTTTTATTTTTCTATCCATACTACTAGTGGGAAGAACTAAACCCTGAATCCACATCCCAGGGTATGCTGTAGTTGCTATTTGTTCGCTGCAGCTTCTTGGGGCATTTTGGAGTTCCTGGCCTTACTTAGCTGAAGACCCTGTGGGCATGCCTTTCCTCTCAACCCCCTTTCTTACTTACCGTGTTTTAAATTCTTAGGAATTCATAATCCTAATCTGCCTCTAGAAGTTTCAGGGCAGGCAGCTAGACATTTCAGGAAGCGTACAAGCTGAATGGGAATTTATCTTTGACTCTCAACCCAAATCAGTGAGAAACACTTCATTTTCATTTTGGTATGCTTTAAGTGTGGTCAAAGATGAAGAAATGGGAGATGGGGGAAATGAAATGAGTCATAGTTTAAGAAAGGGATAAACTTGGGAATACAAAATCCTGAATACGGGCAAATTAATTGAACCTTGATACTAACAAGTGGCAAATTTGTTAGATGATCATAACTGGAGTAAAGGTAGTAAACCGAGGAAGGTTCTCTCTTACTGCTTTAGTTAGATCCACATATTAGCCAGTGCCAGGGAAACTGACCAATTTTGAGAAAATGTTGGGCTAAGTGAGTGGCAGTTGCTCTAGAGTCTAGGCTAGTCCCAACGACCAGAACTCTGATTGGCTGAAAGCCCATCCTTATTGTACATTCCAGCCAATCAGGGATTAGTTTAGTCATTGAGGCCAGTATTTTATTAAATAAAAGTTTTTAAAAGCCGAGTACTGGGCACTTCCCTTTGCCCTCTTTCTCTAGGACTTTGGAAGATTGGAGAACAATGGTCAGCGGCTGCCTAGGTGCCTTGTGGCCTGATGCACAGTCCCACTGAGAACCCATTTTTGTTTACTCCACTAATGTTTGGTCCCCTTTCTCCAGTGCTGAGTGATGTGGAAGTTACTTAGAGGTGGTTCCAGGTATTCTTTCAAACTGAATTTCAGCAGTAAGAGCAGGATTCAGAGTATAGTTAATACAGTAGGCTATTCATTTTATTGGAGTGACAGTTTTTTCCTTCCCCCAACCAGATCAAAATGGCAGTTCCTGTGTTTTACCCCACCGTTGGCAGGAGTGTGAATGGTCGAGGCTTTTGAAAATGCTAGTAAGAGAAATATACGACTTTCAAAGCCTGACTCTGAGACCTAATATTCTATTGGCACGTGACTTACAGTTTTTGTGGGGAGGCTAGATTTTCAGATAAGCTGTGTTAACCATCTCTCTGATTCTAATATGATTTTTGGCGAGGGTGTGAGGGACAAACAGGACCCTCTCTTGTTTTTGGAGTTTCTGTCCTGAGAGTTCTTCCTTGGACAGTTTGCACTGAAACTACCTGTTGAAATAAGCAATCAAGAGAACTTAGAGAAACAAAATACCAGTTGACAATCCAGGCTCCCCACTCTGGTTCCCACTCCACCCTCCTCCCTCATCCCCCTCCAAAAAAAAAACTCAGAAAAATTTTTACAAGTTTTCTTAATTGTACTTCCTCAGTTCTAGATTTTCAATGGGTACTGGTGTCCCCATAAGTGTAGTGAGAAGTGTCACAGAATGGGGAACCAAGGGATGGAAAATGGTGGGTTTGGGGATATGTTATGAAAACAAGCCTCTGGCTAGTGCTGAAAAATCAGTGACATGTGTCCTCAGAGCAGCTTCAGAGAGGCTTGTTTCTCTGAAGTAGTTTTA